TGAGCAATCAAAAAACTCATAAAGCAAGGTTTCTTGATCTTGCTTACCAGCTAAGAACATCATAAATAAGAATAAATAAATTGTAAAGAGTTGTCAGACAAAGCCAAAAAAGTTCAGTATGCTATTTTGACAATGATGCTTACCCCACAGACTTCACATGTTGAGCCTAACATTCGGTAACCCTTCAACATGTACTGACCCATTAATGCACTGATCCTGTCACTTCTTTCACGGCTTTTGTTGTATTTCTCCTGCGTTATTTTGTCCATATTATTGCTTGGCTTTTCCACGGTCCACACGACTTTAGAATACGTTTCGTCTCCCATACACGACATATCCACTATGGGTCGACTAGTTCTAGTCCCCCAGCGATTTTTGGCGCGCGACAGAGAACTTCTAACTGCTACAAAGGTACTCCACTTCTGGGCATACCAGCAGATCTCTTGGAGCACAAGAATTATGGCTAGCCCTTGGGCAAGACCGGCATTTAAAGGAAAGGGACGAGATTCCAGTCCTTTTACGCCGCGTCAGTCCTTAAATTATTCTTCATTTCTTGGAGATTCAGCTAAGAGGTTTGTAGGAATGTATAAAGCACAACCTACACATTTATTTTATCCACAGCACTGGCTAGTTTTTCTTAGCCAAAAAAAAGAAACAGTGACAAAACAAATAAGCAAGAAAAACAGCTATGTATTATTTCTAATTCAATGCCCTACTGGTCCGGGACTCGCGACGTGTTTCAGTAAGCCCATAAACAATTTCACGCTGTTTCTGTAGCCGATGCACAGGCCACCCAAGCTAGTGGCGCATACACCAGGAGTTGTGATACTAAGGTTATCTTAGGTTGTGAAGGCTTGTTTAGGAATGCAACGGATTTATTATTAATAGTACAAATAAGCATTAAAATACTAGAGGTTTCAAATTAAAATATGCCATACCAGCATTGTACAAATCTATAAATAAGTTCTGGGCCACTTGCACCTCATATCTACAAAACGTTATCTACTGAAATAATCCACATGCAAATTCTTTGTGATTTGTGACTCAGAATATAAACAGTTACTGTAATATTAAACAGTAATGTATGAATTTTAAATGAAGATATGATCATTGCAGTGGTTATTGCAATTTGCTGTAAGCAGTTACAAATAAACATGAAAAAAATTCGCTGTGGCTATATGGCCGGTAAGCGGTCAAGGCTTTCAAAACACTAAATAGCCGGCAGTCCCATATTCTCAGCAAATTTCACAAAATCGAAAGATTCTAGCTAATCTAAACTATCATATGTCAATTTAGAAAAGTCAAGCGATGCTGACAGGCTATATAGATCTCAAGTCTAGTGTTTGGTTTACGTTGGGCTCAGAGGACGAAACCATGTTTTGTGACACTTAGAACGTTTTGATAATGATGATGATGATAAACTTTATTTCAGTGTCAGGTCTTCTAGCTGGCCATGTAAGGCCTACTAATAGGGGACACTAAATCAAAATACTATCAGCTCTTACTAATTAATATAAAAAAAATATTTACAAAGAATGAAATTTACAAAAATATACATAATAAAAAAATTTCGATAAAACATATTCGGATTTATCATATAAAATAATACTTACTGATTAAGAGGTGTCCTTTTTGTCTAGAAAATGTCATTTATGTACAACATAGAAAGCAGTTTTTACAGCCCTTTGTGATTACTTTTTCAAGATCTACCTTACGAATTTCCTTTTTAAAGCTGTAAATTATTCTGCATTTTTTACATTCTTGCTTAATTTAGACCATATTACTGGACCCACATATCTTAGGCTATGTCTCCTGTAAGTTGTTGTGTTGTATCGAGGAATTAAAAAGTCACCAGAATTTTTGAGCCCACAGTGAGGTTTATTGAGCTTAAAAATGTCCTTTATGTACGGAGGGCATATATTGTACTTTGCCTTATACATAATTATGGCTATATCCTGCGACCGGCGACAGCCTAGTGTCGTGAGTTTAGCTTTTCTCAAGAGCTCATCGCATGAACTTCTCGTATCGCAGTAGACGGCACTTAACGCTCGCTCTTGTACTCGCTCCATCTTTCTGCTATCCGACACACGACAGAAATGCCACACTGTACATGACAGTATGTAATTTGAGGCATCATTGTTCATAACATCAATTTTCATCTGTTTTTTTTTATGCTTCGACTGCCGGTCAAGGTTTTCAAAACACGAAATGGCCGGCAGTCCTATATCCTCAGTAAATTTCACAAAATCGTCGACAAGATAATGTTGAAGTGTATTTCAGCTAGACTTTTTCCGTCGGTTTCCCGCGAAGGCCGTATGAAAGGTCAAGATGGTATGACGTCAAACGTTGCCTGTCACGCCATGCTTTGGACAGAAAATAGTAACAAACATCCAAAGACTCGAGACCAACAAAACATGATATAGAGATCCCACAAAACCGGCTGGTTTGATCAGGATCATGACATGCGATAGTTTAGATTAACTGGAATTTTTCGATTTTGTGAAATTTACTGAGAATATAGGACTGCCTTGACTGGCAGTCGAGCTGAAAAAAAGTTCTAAGTGTCACAAAACATGGTTTCGTCCTCTGAGCCCAGTGTAAACCAAACACTAGATTTGAGATCTATGAAGCGTTTCAGGATCGCTTGACTTTTCTAAATTGACATAAATGATAGTTTAGATTAGCTAGAATCTTTCGATTTTGGGAAATTTGCTGAGAATATAGGACTGCTGGCCATTTAGTGTTTTCAACACCGTGACCGGTTACCGACCATATAGCCACAGCGAAAAAAATTTTGTGACTTCAATGAGTTTCAAACCCCATGGCCACTGGGTTAGCACTGCAGTGCTCTACCATTTGAGCTATTAACCCTTTAAGTCCCAATAGTGACCAACATCAATTTTCTCCTAACAATATCCACACAATGTCAAGAGATAAGGTTATGAGAATTAATAAAATGATCATTAAAGACAAAATGCCATGATCTTTTATCAAATTCTCTCAACTAATTCTTAAAGGAAATTTATAGAGATCAGTTTGGAGAAGTTGCATGTGGATATTGGGGCTTAAAGGGTTAAGACCCATACATTGGGAGCAGGCCAATTTGTTGAGTTCATCTTAACTTGTGAAAGATATGAAACGTGAAGATGATGTGGACTGTAGAAGTACAAATTTTAAATGAAGATATGATCGCATTGAATTGTACAATAAGATTTACTTTGTTTGTGACATTGTATTTTACATGTCTGGTATCTTGCCTCAGAAGTCAGCAAAGAGTCCCACTGAATTCTCAGATTCTGGAAGAGACAGATCAGCATAGAGTAGAGACATTTGGTTTTCCTTTACCAGTCCAGATCAGCGAGGCACTCACAAGCAGAGATGGTATTTTTGCTTGATGTTTTAAATATTAGGAAATATGTTTCTTTGAACTTGCATATGTGTCACGTACCGAGGACCAACTCCATCAGAGGTTCATTTGCCTAATAGCTTTTACAGTCAATTCCCTCCTCACAGAGACCTTGCTATTTAAGGTGGACACTTCTATAAGACAAACACCTGGTGATTGTCCCTTTCCTGCCATTTTTCAGTCATTACTGCAACTAAATTGTTTATGAAACAGTCACTTCTCTTAAGACCCACTATTGAAGCTGGTCTCAACAGTTCCCATCTTAAAAAAAATTCAGTGTTGCAGAAAGTATTTATCTCTACTGATGTAGTAATGATATTCCATTGGCCCTTTCTGGCAGTGTTAGCCTATTGTTATTTGTTTTAACTGCAGCTGTGTTAGCTCAGTCGGTAGAGCGCGTGACTGCAGAGCGGGAGGTCGCGGGTTTGTTTCCTGGGGGCCAGACCAATAATCAGGATCTTAAAATAACTGAGAATTGAGGGTGCTCCGTTTGCACTGCAAGGGGCTAGACCTTCGCATGGCGCAGATGACCACGTAAAATGGTGGTCCTGTCTCCAGTGGGAGACGTAAAATGTATTGTGTCCCCAATTAATACTTACGTGCTAAATACATTGACGCTCAAATAAAGTGCATTTATTTATTTATTTGTTTTTATTTTATTTATCACTCATTATTGTTCAGTTTTATCCTAGGTAAATTATAAATTAATATTTCCCTTTGTTTTAAAACTCATTATCATACATTGCCATTGCCATGCCCCATAACAAGGGAAGTAAAATTTAAACCAAGGCCAAAATTGAAACACAACATACATATGTTATACATAGGTCAAAATTAAATTCTGGTTAAAATTTTTTAACCTACAATAGGTTGATTGTCAATTTTCTTGGTCTCCTAGCCCTAAGTAATATATGAATAGGTATTATTCGTGAATTAGGGCTAATTGAGAATCAACCAAGGTTAAAAAACTTTAAACTTGTCACTAGAGTTTTTTGTGTAATAGAAAATAGAACAATGACAGGGACCAGAAAATTGACCAGTTATTATGCTAGACAACACCTACAAATAAAATATAATAGGAAATTGAGAAGAGGTAACATTTATTTATTTTAAAATGCGTGCTGTTTGAGGTATTTAACTTTATTTTATAGTCACCGGTGATCAACAGATCAGTGTAAAGATTTCCCCTTTTGGTTGGGCTTGGCTTGTTACCGGAAGGAAATTGTTTATTTGGCGCTATGTGCCAGGAGCTGAAGCAAAGGTTTGTCTCAGCCCTTTGATTCCAGATACTTGTGTTAAATAAAATCATGTCATGCTGTGTTTGATTCAGAAATTACCCAGGCCTAACAATGCTTGAGGCAACAACTTTATTAAGATGTTTCTTTGTACATTACAATTGACTGTACATGTATGTGTCCATTTTTTCAGACAGTACAGTGGTCAGTTATTGAGTTATTGAGGATAATGTTATTTTTTTATTTGTGGACATTTCAAGTTGTTTTCTTGTTGTATATTGGTTATTGAGGATAATGTTTTTTTTTTTATTTGTTAACATTTCAAGTTGTTTTCTTGTTGTATATAGAATTCTGTTTTTAAAAGCTAGAAAAAATCTTATGTAGTTTCCTGTGGAAGAGGAACAAAATTATTCAAAAAACCTTAATCACATGAATGGTACTTGAATTGTTTCTGTAAGTTTAAAATGCCAGATTTTAAACCCTGTTATACAACCCACACATTGTATGCATGCACATCTTGTGCTTAATTTGATTATTATAAAAAAAGAAGTATAAGAGGTGACTTGGCACATTCAAATGTGCTAAGTTAATATTATATTTCTTCCATAACTTTATAGTAAATACTGAAAAATTAATAAACATTCATTTGGCTGTTGTGTTTATCAGGGAGTATTTTATAAGGAGTTGATTTTGCCAGCTTCTGAGTTGTACCATATGGCTGATCTTGTTTGTGTATTGGATTGTTCTGGTGATGTATCTGGTGTCTCCGTTATGGCTGTTTCTCCTGAGGGACTGGTGCGTTACTGGCCAAGTCTTGTTAATGACACTGCTGTGCTTGATATGGAAACAGACTTGATAGGATGCCAATGCCATTCATTGACTGCTTTACAGGTGTGATGTAGACATAGTTTTTATTTTCAAATTCAACCAGTCTTCTGGTTGTAATAAACTAATATCTTACTAGATTACATGTATAATATGATAGTATCAATTTAATTACACTTAGTTATACAAGGAATAGTGTGCTTGGTCAAAAGCAATATTTTTTTATTATGCATGGAAAGTCTCTGCCACCCAAGGCATCAAATTTTCTGCTAGAGTTTCTTATCAGATGTTGCTTGAAAGTTGGATAATGAACTGGTAGGGAAACTCTAAAAGCAGAAAACATGTGACTGTTTTGTTACCCTGCTGGCAGAGACTTTTCATGCATGGTAACCAGTCCTCAGAATCAGGACATTCTGCTAATTGGATCCTCGGATTGAATGTTGTATGTACGAAACAGCACTCGCCCCTCTCCCCACACATAAGAAAATCCTCTGGTGCCCAAAGTATTCTTTTAATTTGTGGGGGACGTGTTCATGACAAGAAGTGATTGGCAAAGGAAATGCCAAACTTGTTAAGCAGTTTGTAAAACAACTACCTCTTGAAGATGTTATTTTTGACGTGCATAGTTTTCTACATGTCACGATATTCGATCTATGACATTTTAATATCGGACTTAACAGTAAATCAACATAGGAACTTGCGTGATGTAATCTAACAATAGTAGTTGAATCATCGCCTTAGTTTACGAACGGCTGTTACATGATTAGAACAATAATTATTCATTGATTCTCTTGTAATGCTCGGAGATTCATGATTAAAACTGGAGTTGGCTAGTTGATGCGTCTCTCTCTTTATGTCACTAATTCGAATGACATAAAATGTTACACTACATCAATTAAATTACATATTTTTTGAATTGTATGTAGAAAATTGACCTGTGCTTATGAAAAGTCACCAAAATACATATGAAAATATAAAACAAGATAGTCAAATACATTTTACGAATTCCTTATAAAGATTCCTGACTTGTGTTCTGCCCTAGAAGTTAGTGTGGTATTTGAATAATAAACAATATATGAGTGGTTTCATTATATTATAAAATTGTGTAAAATATATTATAATAGCTCATATACCATAACGGCTAAGCCAATCAAAATGCTAGAACTGCATTATCCAATGATTCAGTTTTTAATAATATTTATTATTCTTGCAGCCCTATGGTTGTATCCTGATGACTACCACTAATGAACTGGTACTATTAAGTGGTTCACAGGTATTTATAAAGGCAACTGCTCACAATCAATAACCTCCAATTATATTGGCCTGTACTACATGTACATGACCCTCCTGAGTGCATAACACATTGTGTTATGCTCAGGGAGTTTTTTTAGATGTCAGCATAAAGTACAAGACATGCAAGAGGAAGAAAATAGAAAGTATAAATGCTTGTAAACAGGTTATTGCACTGTTTCTTTGTAACACACTTGCACTCCAACAATTGATCAATCAAAAGATGTTAAGATTATTGGCTGCAGCAAACTTGCCTATTACTCTACAGTCGCCTTGTATTTACATAACATGGAATTCCATTGTTTGAAGTGTGGAGTCAGAATTACATGTATGTCACAACTGTGATCATCCAGTTTTGTTTTTATCCCTATAGGGTGTTCATGGCTTACCCCAAAAGCCAGCAAATTAGTGAATTCCAGTTGCATTGATTTTAAAAAAATCCTGATGCAAGTGGCAGAGAAAAAAGAACAGGAATTTTCTGTTTGCTCCCACTAACTCAATGGAGGTGCATGGAGGCACTGGTGTGATGGGTTTTGGGGAAAAAAATGCTGTGAAGTGTGCATTGTGTACAAAGAAAAAGACCTCACGCTATAAATACATCTGACCCACGAATGATTGCAGAATTTAGAAAAACTCACTTTGTTAGGAAAGTAGAGACCATTAACTCACCAAGGTGACGTGAAATCATGTCAGATTTTAACATGATGATATTGTTGAATTTCTATGCATTCATCATGCAACATATGATACAAATCAGCCCAAAGAAACTTAGTTTTGCAAGATGAACATTTAGGGGAGAGAACCTCAGATCTACTGATAAAAGCAATACCATCATTATTTTACAGGTAAAAGATGTCAGATTATCTTTCACTCATAGAGGAGAACTGGCTTTATTGGTGTTCCTTATAACATTCTCTGACAATAGAAAATATTTTTTGATATACTTCTAGGGAATAACTTAACAACATGATTTGGTATTGTTGACTGAGAATGCATGCATTAAACCATTTTTGTGTTAATTGCTTGTTTACTCTTTTGAACAGAAAGCAATCAATTGTCAGAATCTGAAATCATCAAGTGGGGTTTTTTCAGACCTTGGTCGCCGTGTTTCTTCTTTCATATTTGGATCTCAGCCTGCAAGTTATAAAGTAGCAGTGAGTGTGTCTTTGAATAGGACATTTGCATGATGGCGTCATTTTACTACTACAACTAGAATCCTTTTCGTTTTTCCTTTCATATTTAAATTTTGTAATCCCAGTGAGGTTTGAATAACAAAAGCCCTACTTTGCACAAGAAAGCAAAACCCTGAAGGATTCTGGTCGTAGTAGTAAAATGATGTCATCGTGCAAATGGCCTATTTCTGCTGTATTATTTTAAGTTATCTTGCATTCAGGCTTATTCTTTGTAGCTTTTAGTAATTATTATTATTTTAAGATGCAGAAATCAGTAAAATTAACTGAGAATGAAGAAGAGGATAAGAAGGCAGAGTTTTTTGTGGCTGTTCTATCACTTGATTTGTTTCCCACATTTTCCCAAATTTAGGGCATGCATTATACACAGGTAAATATGGTGATTACATGTACATGTGTATACATGACTTGTACCAGCTTAATTTTTAGCCTCAGCATTCTCATCAACTAAGATGTCTACATGTTCAGTGCACATTCATTCCATTCTTAGAAGGTCTGACTGTAATAAGAACAGGCCAGGTAGTTGAGGGTTTTCATGTATGCAAAGCTTCTGATAACCAACAAATCTAAGGAAGATAATGTGCAGTACATCTTCTGTGTAGCAGATGATTATCAGAAAGTAGTGGAAACACATCACACTGTAAGTCGAAGCTTTATTGACAAATGCTTTTCAATGTTGTCTTGCTCAACCTTGATGGATATGGGTCTTGACTTTCCTCTTTGTTTCAACTGCATTTACATTTGTTGCTGAAGTCACATTGCAAACAGTGTGCCATAGGAAAATTTGTTTGAATACTATCAAAAGAAATACCTGAACAATTTCACCTTTGACAGGTGAACATAGTGACGTTGATCCTGATAAACTTGTAAATCTCTAAATCTCAGAGCTGAGAAGCATGATATACAAACACGTATCAGAGTTGTCCTGCTTTTTTACTCTCCACCTCTGTGCACCATGGTAAACTCCTGAAAAGCATGACTTAAAGTGAGAGAAATTAAAGAGAGAGTGCCTGCCGGTCTTCAGGATTAGAGTTAAATAAACAGATCTACAATGGACTGCAAACAGTGCAAGTGGTCCACTGCATCATTACATAAAATGTAGGAGTATGGTCAATTCTCTTATGACTGTTTGATGGTGTGTTTTATGTCGAGCCTCTTCCTCCACTCTCTGCATCCCACACCTGTGCATTTTACAGACCAGACTGAAAACTTTAGGCAAACATGGCTAAACCCAGCACCTAGTCTATCTGCAATGGCCATCGCATTTTGAAACTATTCATTACCTGAGTTAAGTCACATGATGTGTGTAACACAGGTACAAAAGCATCATTTGTGCCCCTCCATCCCCTTCCCTACTCAAGTATTGAAGTTGTGTTAAGCTGAGTTGCTTCCCTCATTTTACATTTCTTATAAATTTGTCATTGCAAAAAGGCAATTTCGCTAGCGCATCTATGGAGTGTTGACAACTGTCAATAATAATTTTTATTAAAACCTTTTAACTTTTCACTTTCAATGAAGATGAGTACTGCAAATGCAGGTTGTCACATTGTCAGTCACTGTCAACAATAATTGTTTCAGGACTACACACACCTGGACGATCATATTCCACTTTAGTATGAGGTTCAAAACTGTTCAGCTGCCTGGTACACACTGTAACTTGTGGTGGACATTACGACCACACTCAGTCACTGTCAAAAAGCATCTTAAAGATTTACATGGACTAGATAATATCAGACAACATATCAGATTTTAGATTCTCTTATTTTAACATTTTAGGCCATATTTATGCGAGTGTTATCCCAAATCGCTGTCAAAAGTTATAGATGTGTGTGGTCCATAAAGGCAATTAGCTGTTTGGACCTGTGGCACTTCTCAAAGTTCATCTTAATACTCATCAACCCCTGCCTGTTGCAGTCTGCAACCAATAGCTGAACATGTGGCCTAATAGTAACGGTTTATGGCTTCCAGGTACAGACTAAAAGACTCAACTTCTATGGGTGTCCAGTCAGCTTGCATTCTATGAGTCTCCAAAAATATAGGGGCTTTACAGAGCCCAAATGGCATGACTGTAAGTTGATAGAGGTCACTTACTGTTGCAATTGATGTTTTGTTAGTCCACTCGACTTCATCTCAACCTGTCATTAAATGCTTGCAAGGTTAAGAGAACAGAACCATCATTGTGCCAGACAAAGCATCACTTACTCAATAAAATCGCTTAATTTTGGTAGCAGGTCAGAATGTTTCAATTCTTCTGGCTGCAGTGTTGTTGCAAAAGGAAGTTCACATATCATTTTATAAATAACCAGGCTTGCCCAAGGATCCAACTGCTGTTCAGTGAACCTTTTTTTTCCTACCTCCAACTGTGCTTTCATTCAGTGGTAAATGCCTTACATTGAACAGATGGGCTTGCTGTCCCTTGTGTTGATGTTGTGCTGGTAACTGCTCATCCTTCTCAAGCTGCTGTCTGAATGGGCAAAGACACACCATTGAATCTTGTCAACTGTTACATGTATGTTGCCAATTTTACATTGCAAGGCTCGTAAAGCATGATGTTCATTCTAGCATACAACTGTAAGTGCCAGTGGCCGCTGTTTATGCTATTAAACTTCTTGTTCTTGTTAGTGTCATCAGTCTTCATTTTGATTAAGGCCTAGCCTAGTGTATGCACCATTTAAACCTTTTTTTAGTGGGGGTGGGGGATATCAATAAAGTTATCCTTGCTTTCATGATGTTTAATGAACATCTGGATATGTGAGTTACTCTTTTAACTGCTCGGGCCAGCTATATCACCTAAGGTGGTGAGGGTGGGCCCTTTGAGGGAGGCCGCCATACAAAATGGCTTTAATATGAGTAAGTTCAATCTATCCTCCAACTCAAAATTGGGTGCAGCATAAACAACTGAAATATTACTTTAATGTTGTTTACAAATTAATATTCACAGATTTCCACTCAGTCTCACCTAATATGCTGTACGATATTACATGTACCGCATATTTCTTAGTGAAAAACCTTCCTTAGGTTACTATCAATGGTAATACAGTAAAGCATGTGATGTTAAGATTAGTTTACACCATTAGTTGTACATAGCAAAATGTAAGAATATGATTGTCTGTTATTTTTGTAATGTACAGAATTGGCAGAGAGTTCTTGTTAGCAAGGCCTTGTCTGATAACTCCAGGTATCTGGCTTTCATTTACACTGTATGTATGTTTAGTTTGGGTTTGATAGACTGTATTTTTTTAAACGAACTTACATGTTGCCGTGTTTTTATCTTCATCTTTCCTGGGTATATTATGAACCAATTTAAGGACTGTAGCTCCTAGGTGGCGTGCTAGCTCAATTGATTAGAATGCTGCAGTTGTTATTGCAGGGGGTTTGGGTTTGTATACTGGCAAGCCTGAGAACTTCAGGAATATTGATTATGTAGTGACCAGTCACAAGAAAGATCAAGACAAACAAACAGTCCAGAAATCACAAACTAACTTGTAGACTATCTGTACCTTTTTAAATTTGGTTTTCTCTGGGGCTGGCTTATATGTTTTTACCTTAAAGCACATTAACTTTACAGAAATATTTTTGGCATTCCCTGTTTTCTGAGTGTTACAGTAAAAACTCTTTTAACTAGTCATAGTTGTCACTAAATCTGCCCCCGACCTTTTAAAAACCGAATTAAGACTCCATGTGGTTGTCCATGTATTTGCGATGAACCTTTGAAATGCAGTTTTCGTATTAGAGTTTCTTTTGTTTTCTTTTGTTAGAACACAACTGATATAAATAATTTCGCAATAAACTAACCCTACCAAAACATGGACCACTGTTTCAAGTTTCTCACCTTTGAGATATTTCCCAGTTCACTTTTTCTGATCCTTGTATGAAATAAAATAATCGGGATTTTGCAATAAACTAACCCTACAAACACATAGACCACTGTTTCAAGTTTCTTACCTTCGAGATCTTTCTCAGTTCACTTTCTCTGATCCTTTTCTCTTCTTTATTAAATCCTGAATACCTTAATATAGAACAAAACCCAGTAATTTGACGTTAGCACCTTTCTTGTTTTTGACTGGGTTTTAAAATATTTGAGCTATTCCTGATGTGGTTTGAATCGAGTCTGTCGATCCCGTTGCTGATTTGTGTCTGACAAATCAAGTTCAAAGTTCTGTTGATCCACATTGCTGATTTGTGTCTGACAAATCAAGTTCTTTAATACCAAACAATTCCAGTACTGCTAAATAGCTTTTTAATTTAAAGAAATCAGAAAATTGATGTGCTACAAGATACTCAATGATAAAAATACTCACCTTATAGCTTGGAATGAAATCCTGACACAATTTGGTGAATGCAACTCGTTGACAAACCCAGTTTGCGCAGTTGCTGAGCCAGGCACACATGCTGAAAATTAACCAGGACCAGATCAGCACGTTAACTTGTGCTTTAATTTGTGACTAGATCTTTTTGAGACCAAAGTTGCAAGACATCACTCACTTTAGTTAGCTTTACAGCATTACTTAATACTTAACATTTTATTAGTTCCTTAAGACTATCATATGCAAAAGAAGGAATCAAATAAGTCTAAATTTTTAAGAATTTGCCATGCCTTGTTTTACCTCCTCCGGTTGGCATTCCTGTAACTCTGGAAGTTATGTCTGAATTGGAGGCCTTTCCCTTGCACATCTTAAATTTAGACTAAAGGAATGCTGGCCAAGTGGAAAATCAGCAGCAGATTTTAATTCAATATATTTTTGGATTTTTTTTTTCATTACTATTAATGTGTATGCTGTCAGGGACCTTTTTGTGTTAAGCGGAAATCAGTTGTTCAAATGGAAGATTCTTCAATTAGGACCAAGCACCATTCAGGAAAAGGTAATGCCAGTTAAATTATGCTAACATAGTTTATATATATCACACTGATTTTATATTACGTGCAGTATGTTACATTGTTACCATATAAGGCCCACTTCAAATCTCGATCTTTCATGTACTGAACCTAATCCCGTCAACTAAGTACATGAAAAGATTAACATCTGAATCAGTTAAGTCTTACATGTCTAATTTGGATCAACCCATGCATTGAGTTGGAGTGGCCCACATGGGAATTTTGACTATGGAGCAACTTTGTTTCAAACATCAAACTTTTCATGCGCTGAATCTAATGAATATGAAATTTCTATAGTTTATTTTGACTGGTAAACATTGAAGACCAATTTTTATTGTGAAAATGAATTGAGGCCGACTGATTAATTAAGTTTGACATCTGAATCAACGATCATACTTATATCATTTGGGATGACCCAAATAGCTATTCTAAAGTTCAGTTCAAGTTAAAAGGTTTTTTTTCCTTTTTTTGTGGATGGCTGGTGTGGCTTAGTTTTACTAAACAGGTTATTAATAATTCAATCTATATGTAACCTTTCTTGCCTTTAGAGAGACCATATCCACCATTAAGCTGTGCCCACCCAAGGTACATGTAAACATGAGGCTAACGTTACTATGAAAGAAAGTATGTGTATGGATTGATCTTTCTGTAGCTATATACAACATATATCTTTTCTAATCCCTCTTTTCAGCTTACATTTCAGCTAGAACTTGAAAGACTATTTAAAGAAGCTACAGTAAATACACTACAGGTAAGAGTTACTAACTATATGTAGAGTCCACTTGTAATGTTAATAATGAAAACTAAGAGACAGTTTGGTATTTAAATGGCCATTAGACTTGTCAAGTACAGTCATCAGTATGTGATAATCTTTAAAAGGGTTATTATTTAAACACTGAAGGGCATGTGCTGTTTAAAAAGGGGTACAGCTGTAAACAGGTAACTTACTTGGGACCTCTGTATCAGATGAGCAATTAGGATTGCAATTTAAATGCCAGTTTTGTCATGTCTGCATGTATTTTTTGTCACAGCATGTCACAATATGAAAGAACTGCCTCCCACTCATTTTCAGTTACTGCTCGTAAATCATATAATATATGTTCAGGAAAATTTACATGGCACTTTTTTTGTTCTAAATAAGTTCCCTATAATGATCAGATTTTGTTATTGATGGAGTATTCAGCTGATGTCTCTCACAAGTTTAAGATTGCAATATTTGTATATAACTCAACAATGAGCCTGGCATACTTTTTTAAGACTGTTTTAATTTTTTTCAACACATTCACCCCTCAACTGGCTATGAGTTCTCTTGTGGATCCATGTACCTTATAGCATTTGTGACATCATCAGTTTGATGGTTAAGCTTAACTTCTGCTGGGTGACAAAATCTTTTTGCTCATACTGGTACTCATGATGTACCAATGTAGTGAAACAGGCCCCATGGAAAGTGCATGGAAAAAATTTAAGTTGACAGTAAATTTCAGGAAAGATTTTGTTCCTCTACTCAAATGTACAGCTGTACTTCCCAAGTTAAGGTAAATTGCCTCGGGGAAATTTTTATGGCTACATCTGAAAGAACCAAAGAATTTATAATGTACTTCCTTGCTAGGTTGATCCACAGTCAGTGAACCACGCCATGGTTTGGTGTCTTGATGTGGCCATGAGTAGGTGAGAATAACTAAAAAAATTGTTGTTCATAAACACCCTTGTTACACAACTATGAGAAGCAAAATGCATTTACTACACCAGTCAGGGAAAGGTTCAGTAGAGCAAGAACACAACTGAGGCTTTATTGCTCAGAGGTAGAAGTCAATAGTACGCAAATTAAAGCATGAGTTAAAGAGAAGTCAGAGTCAAGAGAAGCTACAGTGCTCTCCCCTAAGGTACTGCTGGCTAGTACTACATGTAGTGTAACATGTTCTCTAACAACATATTGGTAGGAGATCCTCAATGGAAACTGTGACAAACAACATGGACTACTTGTAAATAACAATAGCAAGCTTTGATGTCCCTGGTAATGAGATAGTAGCCTTAGTAACATCAGAATTATAGTGTCTTATTGTTTAATAAGCAAAGTGAGTAACAAAGTCATCATAATTAGCTTAGCATTCCTGATTAGTGTACCACTTTTAGTATGTTAGAAGCTTTTGACATGTCAAGAGATGCTATTGATTGATTGATTGATCTGGTCTGATCCACAAGTTGGATTGGCAAAATCACTGTTGCCTGCACAGGTATCTCCTCAGTTAGAGTTGCCATGAGTGTTGGAGGATGGATTATTATTAAGACCTTAGGTGGAATTCTCATGTTACAGAAATGCAAAAAAGAAACCTGCCAAACGATTGTATTTTAAGCACAACTAAAGGGTGCAAGAGTACCGCCTGAAGAACTGGCTCAGTTCTATGTAGGTTGCATCCAGTTAGTTTTACTCTATGGCTACCTAGATTTATCATTTTAGTCTTCCACAATATCTAAGCTTAAATGTTAAGCAGATACATAAACGGGCTCTGAGGAATAATTGTTGGTTATGAAGTGCACTACTCAGATGCCCTGTCACGTTTAGGCCTTGTTGCTTTAGAGCAAAGAAGCATGGTGCTGTTTAGAAAACCTCTTTTCACAAAATTGTTCACAATCCCCTTGATCTGTTGCACCCTCTCATTCCATTCAACGAGGGACCCTGCATGGACCTCAGGAACCCTAGATCATACTGTGTGAAGCCATGCAAGACCAACAGGTGCTGTGATACCTTTATTAACAAATGCCCAAGTATTTTTTAATTATTCAGAGTTAGTCTAAAATTTTATATTTTCGTAGTTGTAGGATTTGATATAGTTAGTACGTAAAGATTTTTTAATTATGTTTCATAACTCTTTTCTATACACTGTAAACCTTAGCAATTCAGTCGATATTGCTAGTGAGGTATTTCGATAAAGCATTCTATTCTATTCTAAGTAGTGAGCTTCTAAACATGCTGGGGAATTTCCTGTGAGGCAGATGCACTCAGTGCAGGTGTAGCCAATGAATTTTCATCCAAGCAGGCCTCTGTATCAAGGGTAGATGGGTGAAAGTGACCTGGGTACACTCAGTTGTATTCCTTTGGTTGGATTACCTATGAAAATTACCAATGACAATGAAAGAGCCAGGCAGTAGTGTGTAGCTAGTGCCTTCAATTTCTCACTGTGGGGGTTATGGCAAGCCTAGGCGTCGATCATGTGAAGGACTTCTCTGGTCCTTGTAGAGCAGAACTGATCATGATGGATCAACATCTCTTTGGCAGAAAAACCAGAGACCACATGACTAGATGTGGAGATGTGGACATTAAATGAGATAGAGGAACTCCTGTGGATTATGGCATGGAGGCTTGCGTTTGACTTCTTGTACTGCCCCCTCACCATCTGGGTTCTTGTTTTGATTCTTAACCTGTACTGTTTTTGACGAAGGCCATCAGTGAGTACCTTAAATCCTGGGGAAGGGTTGGTATTGATAATGGTGGGTAGACCATCCAATTGCAACTTAGAGCATATTCCAGTGGGGCTGTTACTATCAACTAACTGACTCATTCTCTGAAATATTTGAGTAGCAGTTGTGAGCACTTTTGATTATCACATCTGTGGTGTATGATACTTGGACAGCACTGGGCAAAGGACAGGCTGACTGTTCCATATATGCTGTGGAGATGGTTATAAGGTGATGGAATTGGTCTTGTCTAACATGCAAATTGTGATTGGCGACATCCTTGAGTTAATCGCTACTAGTTGGGTGGCCAAACTGGATGTTTGTGGCTAGGAATGAAGGCTTGTCATTCTTATTGACAAGTAGGCCTTCTTTTGTGATAGTTGCAATTATTGTAAGTGACCATCTTATGCTCTTCACAAGACTTGTTGGTTAGATTCTTGGATGAGTATGTGCATTATAGATGTGCAATAGTGCATCCTAAATTGCCCATTCTGTTTGTGTTGCCAACCAGTTGGTGCATCTCATGAATTGGAAATATTCATTGCCTTCTAGTATGTTTTTATGGTGGTAACTCTAATGACAGAGTCCTGGGTTATTTTTCTGAGGATGCAGGTCTAACACTCAGGTCTTGTACTGATGCAGAGCTGCATTTTATGACCGGCAAAATCAGATCACAGAATGGCGGACCTGGAAACATAATCTTACTAAGGCCTGATATCAGCTTACTGTGGAGAGGAAGACAGGGAAACAAGGATTGGTTGTAAACTCCCCTCAACAAAGTTTAATGAATTTTATCGGAACAATTTATGATGGAAATTTATCATTCTTAGTTGTTACGTCTTTAACAAAAGTAATATAGACCTAACAATCTTAAGCTTGAACTAAGTTTATTGAGGCCATTAATTATTTTCTAAATGGAAGAACAGTAGGCTTGACTCAATGGAAGTTTCGTTTTGAGTGTGATCATAAGCTTGGAAAAAATGTCATGCTTCATCCTCCCTCCCAAAGTTTAATAGAGGGTGTAGTTTTTATTGTCATTATTCAAAATGTCTTTGTTAATTCATTCTTGTCAGCTCTGGACTACTTATATTAGCTGCTGTAGCTCTCTGTGGAACTCAGACTTCTCAGCTGTTTTATACCCTTGGTAAGTAAGTTAGTAGAGGGGGTGAAAGAGGTTTTTGCATGATAAAAAGTGTGTTTAATCTTGGTGTGAAAGGTGAAAACACGAAATCAAAATTCGTAAACTATGAATGGTTTGCTTGTCGTGATACTTGAACTTTAAAATCTTTTATCCGATATTTTTGTGATTTTCAACCAATTTTTTCGTGAAAATAGATGGTAAGTTTCAACTGAAGAAAAATTTTACACTGAAGCCCGTGGACCTTCAAGCTAAGTCAAAGTTCTTATAAGTTTCCCTTAGACCTATTTTTTTGGATAGTAAACTAGGGCTACCTTTTGGCAAGTTCAAACGAGGCGAATGTGTTTATCATTTGTGGAATGTCCCTATTCAGATCTTTGCAATTTGTTACATAATTTTAGAGGTTTGAAATACATTCTGCTATAGAAAAGGATGGTACCCAACTTTGGCACATTCTAGGCTTTCACTTTTATTAGACAATAACAACATGGCTTGAAGCTTTGTTGGTAAATTGGAGCAAGTTAGCACTTTCATGGACTATTTCATTGTATCTAAACTCTAAACGTTAGAAAGTAAAATATAGTTCAAGTGAGGCCTTTGACTACTGAAATTAAAGATTAAAATTAAATTCCGAGCTTTCTTCGACCAACAGCATCATCAGGGATAAGAGAAATATTCCGCGTGGTAATATACATATGAAAAAATTGTTGTGAAGCAAGATGTGAAAAGTGCAAGAATGGGGCAGAAAAGATTTACTATTAAAAGTCAGTTAAGTGATGACTCATCATTAACCCTGCAGACAGCGGCATTCTGAACAGGTCTAGCCATCCACTTTCCCTTTACTTTGAAAATTTTCATGAAACGTGAACACGGAACTTTAATCACCGTGATACATGCATAGGACCCCCCCTTTACACCCTGTTAGTGAACACATGTTCATTGCATGGAAAAGTTATTGTACTTTTTGGAATGAGGTGAGAAAAACAAACAGGTTAGGAAGGGACGGAATGGCCCCAAAAAATTGAAGAATCAAAAGGTGGACAGAAAGGAGAAGACATTTTAATGTAGGGAGAGAGGGAAAAAAGAGTGAGTTGATGCTAATTTTGCACTGTCCTACCCCTTAAATTTCAAGGAGTAGGACATTTGTCATAACTATCGTATTAATATTCCAAAGTTACCCTGAGGTTGACACATTGAGGAACCTTGTATCAAAAATCAGATGTGGCAGTGGCTACCAAGATTAAATTTAAAAAAAAAAATTATGTGGACCTTTTTGGACCTTTTCAGATGGATTTTCTGCAATTAATGTATTATATAAGGGAAAAAAAACACACCTGAAAATCAGAAAATCAAAAGGCATGATAATCTAATAATTTTTTTTACTTTTATTACTGTATTCAAAGGCTATTTCCCCTTAAAACCCCATCCTCCAGTCCTTAGTGAAGTCAGTAACTGTGTACTAATGGTAAAAGGTCTCTTTGTTTTTTCGTTCATGAAGGGCTCCTTAACTCAGATGCAGTCCCTGGTCCTTCCACCCTTGAGAGTATCAGTATTTTGCCATATTCTGTCATGTACACTGTAAGTAAAGTGGACATATAATGTTATGATAGTATAAAGTATGTTCATATTAAAACCTTTGAACCGTGTATTAAATCTAAAAATCTCAGTGGTTAATGGGAGTGTGTCCTTGGTCTCTAATGAAAGATTTTTCATTAAACTTTCTTTTTTTTCACTAACTTGTATCTGCATTGTCTACTCTTTGAAAGCCTATTAGGATTTATGGTCAAACCCCCCATTTTATGGACACCCGCTTAATACAGACACGTCATTATAATGTACAGTTTGCATTGTTCCTGGGGAAAGAAAGCCCCTACATTTTCCCTAAATTAAACCTGCTTAATACGAGCACTCCACTGACTGTGCCATTTATTTTCTGTCTTCACAGGAGGCTAATGAACAAGAGCTTCTGGATTTCAAATTGCTGCTACCAGAAAATAGTCCATCAGCATTTGTTTATGACTCCAACTCCATCATCTGTGTTTCAGGTGTTTGCATAATACAACATGTATATACAATATCATCGTTTACCTGTGTTATTCTTTGTTACCCAGTGTTCCCGTGTTCCGCTATCTTCCCCTGTCTTACTCTGTGTTACCCTGAGTTACCCTGTGTTCCCCTCTGTTACGCTGTGTTACCCTGTATTACTCTGTGTCACCCTGTGTTACCATTTGTTGCTCTGTGTTCCCCTGTGTTACTCTGTGTAGCCCCTGTCTTCCCCTGTCTTCCTCTCTGTTACTCTGTGTTACCCTCTTGTACTCTGTGTTCCCCTCTGTCCCCCTGTGTTACCTTGTGTTACTCTGTGTTTCCTTAAATTACTCTGTGTTACCTTGTGTAACCCTTTGTTCCCCTGTGTTACTCTGTGCTACCCTGTGTTACCCTGTGTTACCCCGTGTTACCTTGTGTAACTCTGTGTTCCCCTGTGTTACCTTGTGTTACCCTTTGTTATCTTGTGTTCCCCTGAGTTACCCCTGGGTTACCCTGTGTTACTCTGTGTTATCCCGTGTTACCCTGTGTTACCCGTTTTACCCTGTGATACCTTGTGTTACCCTGTTTTACCCTTTCTTCCCCTGTGTTACCCTGCATTGCCCCACGTTACCCTCTGTTACACCTGTGTTACCCTGTGTTACCTTGTGTTACCCTGTGTTACCCTTTCTTACTCAGTGTTACCCTGGGTTACCCTGTATTACCATGTGTTACCCCGTGTTACTGTGTTAGCCTATGTTACCCTGTTTTACCCTTTTTTTCCTCTTTTCCTCTGTGTTTCTCTGTGTTACCCTGTGTTCCCCTGTCTTACTCTGTGGTACCCTGTCCTGCCCTTTGTAACCCCTTTTTTACTCTGTGTTACCATGTGTTCTGCTCTGTTATTCTGTGTAACCCTGTGTTTTTCCTGTGGTACTCTCTGTTACCCTTTGTTTCCCTTTGTTACCCTGTGGTAGTCTGTGTTACTCCTGTGTTACCCTTTGTTTCCCTGTGTTACCTCTGTGTTACCTCTGTGTTACCCTGTGGTCCCCTTTGTTTCCTTCTGTTATCGTGTATAACCCTGCGTTGCCTTGTGTTACCCTGTGTTCCCCTGCGTTACTCTGTGTTACTCTGCGTTACCCTGTGTTCCCTTCTGTCACCCTCTGTTACTCCATGTGACCCTGTGTTACTCTGTGTTAGCCTGTGTTACCCTGTGTCACCCTGTTTTACCCCTGTGTTACCCCGTGTTACCCTGTATTACCCCATATTACCTTTTGTTACCCTGTCACGCTGTGTTACCCCATGTTACACTGTGTTACCCTGTTTTACCCCGTGTTACCCTTTGTTATGCTGTGTTACCCCATGTTACCCTTTGTTACCCTGTGTTACCTTGTGTTACCCTCTTTTCCCCTGTGTTCTTCTGTGTTCCTTTGTGTTACCCTATGTTACCCCTTTGTTACCCTGTGTTACCTTGTGTTACCCCATGTTACCCTGTGTTACGCTTGTGTTACCCTGTTTTACCCTGTGTTTTCCCGTGTTACCCCTTTGTTACCCTGTGTCACCCCGTGTTACCCTGTGTTACCCAGTGTTACTATGTGTTACCCTGCGTTACCCCGTGTTACCCAATTGTTACCCTGCATTATTCTGTGTTCCCCTGTCTTACTGTGTGTTACCCTTTGTTACCTTGTGTGTCCCTGTGTTACTACTCTGTGTTACCCTGTGTTCCCCTCTGTTACCCTGTGTTACGTGGTGTTCCCTTTTGTTACTCTGTGGTTCCCTGTGTTATTCTGTGTTCCCCTGTGGTACACTGCGTTTGCTTGTGTTACTCTGTGTTACTCTGTGTTATTCTGTGTTCCCCTGGGTTACCCTGTGTTACCTTGTGTTAATTTAATTGTCTATGATAGACAATTGAAATATTACAGTCAAACCATGGTGAGTGGTCACTGGGAGTACTTTGTAAAGGATGACTGTTTACAGAGGTTTGGATTTAAATATTATTGTAAATCATTATCTTTAATTGCCGTCACTTTATATTCAACTTTACACTTGGCATAAAAACGCAAATTACTCCGAACAAATACTGACTCAAAAAAACAAACAAATGGATTTGTTTCATTTTGAAAGCTCAATAACCTAATTGCGTCATATTTGCCTGAGATTAACAGACACCCAGTACTGTTAATAGGGACTTCAAAATCCGTCAACGAGGGCGGCAACAAGGACATAAAAGAGCAATAGGTTGGATAGGCAAATTTACAACTTTGCACGTGCGCCAAAGTTTTTGTATTTCTTTGCTGTCACTGCACGACTACGACGTGAAAATGCTTAATTTCACGTTTTATAGAGGACATGAATAAATGGTTGCGAGGAAATTTTCTTTCTTTTTCTGAACTTGGATATGGTTCTATATTGAATTCCATGAGAGTTTGCCTACATTTAACAAATTAAGTGAGTTGGAATAATCGCGATGAACGAGAACTCAATTTTTAGGCGACATTTTTGCCGTCGTCGCCACCCTCGGATCTTGGGAGAGGGAAGAAGACGGTTAAACTTGTTTGACAAGCGTGACAATAATTTTCGCCAAACTTCGCCTTCCTTTAAACAGTTCTTTTTATAAAAGACCGAAAAACATTAAGGTTAAGTGAAGATCACGACAAAACACGCAAGTAATAACCCTGTCACGTTTGTCACTCGTAAATTGATTTGTCGTCCTCTTCTTCCTGCCGTCCTGTTGAGTAAACTTACTTGTAACTGTCATTTCTACGATTAATTCACAAGTCTTTGTTTTCAGTTCACCGAAGCGATGAACTACTAAACAAGATTGATCTACAGTCTCCTCCAGATGGAATTTTGGGTTCAGGTATGGATAAGTGTTTTGCACTTGGTCGGTTAATTCAGTTAATAGATGGAATCCCTCTGTCCTTGCGATGCCTTTTTCTGCCCATATGTCATTGTGTTGTCTCTTTTTAGAGGCCCTCAGATCCAGTTGTGGAATCTTGTCTTAAGGTCTGCGAATTTCAAGGAGCTGGGGTTTTTTTTTGTATACATTGAACTATCCGTTCTCCTTTTGAGGAATTCATT